TGTCTTTTATTTTTTTATATAATTTATAATAAATAGCGTTTATGTATGCGTAATTAAATAAAGTGCCAGTGAAATGCAATTACAAATTTTAAAAAAATATAAATTATCGCAATTACAATAATTGTAGCGCATTGAATTGACAATGATTTAAATACCACAGGGAAATAATGGGGCGTACTCGCGGTTTAAATTAACAAACGGAGTAGGAAGTACTACAGGGAAGAGGAGGGACACAAGGGGGGTGAAACATGTAATGAGGGTGTAATAAAATACAACGAGCTTGCTCGTATTGTTAATAATTAATTACTCGCTATTGGATTAACGCTGTGAGTGCACAAGGCGAGGTCGTCATTTTTTACACTAATTAATCATTTATTTAATTTAGTGATGATATAGATTTTTTTTTTTTTTTTTTTTTCTATAAACTTCTACGAGGTAGGAGATTTTTTTAAGCTGATTCATATATTTTTGGAGATGTTGAGCAAATAAATATGAGGATTTTATAAAATTTTAATTTTTTTTATGAAATTAATTTTGAATTTGTGAAAAAATTTTTTTAACTAAAAAAAAAAATAATTTTTGTTTAGAATTTTTTTATAATTTTTTTGACAAAAAATAAAAAACAAACTCAATTTAGAATTTTTTAAAAATAAATTTTTATATAAAAATTATTTCACATAAATTCAAAAAAATTAATTTCTTCATTTTTAAATCAATTTAAATAAATTTAACTTAAAAAAAAAATTCTCCAAAAATATATGAATATTTACAATAAATAAATCTTAATTACAAAAATAATTTACAAATGGCAAAATAAAAAAATTGAGCATAAAATCTTAACATACAATAATTACAAAAAGAAACATAATAATAATAATAATAATAATAATAATGATAAAATCTCGAAAAAAAAAAATACTGTAAATAAATAAATAATAAAGAGGTTGTGTATAAAACTAAAATAACGACTAGAATGTATTGAGGAGGGATTTAAAAAGCCCCATAAATAATAAATAATTAATTATCATTATCATTATCATCATCATAGTCACATTAATAGATAATCAATAATTACCGATACATGTACTCACTTAATTAAATAATTACGTATTTAATAATGAATTTCTATGACTACTCGGCATTCTAAACATCTAAATGTTTATATCTTTTCATATATAATAATTGTTCTTAGAAATAGATCGAAAGCTGTTTATTATTTCGCTCCTTCTGCGGTACAATTTATCATTAAGTCGCTTTTAATTATTTATTCTGTTACTTTTATTTCATTATGCGTATTATTATTAATTTAACACAGCAAGCTCATCAATTAAATACGTTAGCTTATAAATTTATTCCTTTAACTGACATTTAAATATTCGAGATGGAACTAAGCGGGTTCCGGGAGTAAGGAAGCGGCAGCTCGACGCACATACTCTCCTTCATTTATTAATTTTAATTATTAATAACCTTTTATAAATACAATTTAAAAAAAATAAAATAATTCAATTACAAGCTTTTCATTTGCGCGTCGAGAAAGTTTATCTTTAAATATATATATATATATATATATATATATATATTTTTTTAAATATAATTTAATATACTTTTAATATTTATTAATTAAATACTTTATAAATATAATTTATTTATTATTCGTGGCTTTAATTAAAAAATTGTTATTATTATTAATAATTAATAATTATTAATGATCATATTATTTCAATAAATTAATTAATAATTATTATTAATTAATAATTTTACTAATACATCGGTATATCTTGTACTATATCGCGTAATTATAATAATTTATAATTGTAATTATGTACAAAATCTTACAAAGTAAAATTTACAAATTTGTGACTTTTTTTTTTCAACATCGTCATTTCGGCTAACGTAATTTTCTCGGTGTTACGTACACAATTCATTCATTTTTTTTTAAGGTTTCTTGTGATAAAAAATAATTTTTTTTTTTCAGGCCCGGAAGATTTTACGGTGGTAAATTTTTTTAAAGCTCAATTGCATGATAGTGAAAAATTAGAAGTTGAAGTGGAAGATGAGAGATATGAAAACATTGCAAGCTGTGATATGGTTTTTTTTTTTTAATTAATACATTAATGGAACTGAAGAATTAAATTTTTTTGGATTTTTTTTTTTAGATTAAAAAAATTTTCCAAAAAAATTTAATTTCCTTAATGGATTAATTTTAATTAACTTTAACTATTTAAATATAAAGAACACGTGCGTATCAGTCGATTAATTTTTGCCTTTATAAATTGACTATTTGTTTTACTAGAACATTTTTATCGTTAATAATTAATAATTAATTGATTAGTAAGTAAGTAAGTAAGTAAGTAAAGTTTAAATAGTTAAAATCAGAAGAAAAAAATTGAGATCTATTTGCACCACGTGAACGGAAGAACTTGAAATCTATATATATCTGCATACATTATAAATCGAAAAATTTATAATTATAAATACATATACATCGCAATCTACGTACAAGCCACCGAGTTTCTTTAACCCTGGACTGGTATCTATTTATTTGACTTTTAATTTAATAATTAATAATTGCTAGTTAATTTAGTATTATTCTTGGAATCAACAGCTTCTCGAGTACAAAAGATATATCAGACAAGAATATCATCATCATCATCATTATAATATTTATTATAATTATTTGTCTATCGTATTCGACCGATAAAAATTTCTTCAATTTTTCAAACTTTTCATCTATTGTCACAGTTCAATTATTGATAGTTATCTTTTATTTTCTTTATATTACTTATTACCTTTTACGGTCTCATTACTTACATCCAATTTATTATTTATATTAAACAAAGTTATACATTACGCAACAGTTAAATCATTTTAATTAAGTATTACAATCAGTCTCGATTTAATTTAAATTAGTTGATAAGTTATTACTTTAATTGTGTTCTTGTGCAGTGATGTTTAATTTAATTTTTAATTAATTAACACAAGCTATTGTTACATTTATAAATGACTAATTTTTTTAAATTAACGTAGTAAATCAATAATTTCAAACAATATTTAAGGCATTTACAGTTGGATTTACCAAATTTTTTGGTGCTACTTGATTTGAAGTTAGTGTTTGACTTCGCCGCTAGGTGGTTATGCTTCTCGCTGCCAGAAAAATCTTAGTGAAGTATAAATAAGCGTCAAATTTTCTTCGGCAGTTAGCGTAAATAACTGACGACTTATTTACTGATGATTTTTTTGTCGTTATTTATTTTTTAAACAATTTTACGTAAAATTCTGGAAAATCCAAAAGTAAACAACTCTTATTTTTCGCATTATGGTAATCATATTATAGAAGTAGGAGTCCACTTTTTTTCAGGCAAAAAAACGAAAAATCTACTTATCGATATTTCTTTTTTAACGTGTTCTACTAAAATGGACGAATGAAGAAAAAAATTTGATTTTTAAAAAATTTAATTTCATAAAGATTTTTACTTTTGAAAATTCTTCAATAAGACCTTTCTAGTTTTCATAAACAAATTGAGAGTGATACATTCATTACTAACCCATAATTTATACTTTTGAATTTCAAAAGTGAAATTTAATTTTTTGAAAAGTCAAACCGTAAATAAGTAAAGCCCCACTTTTATTTGATTATAAAAATTAATAATAAAAATGATTGAAATTCAACGAAATAGAAAAGAAATAAGAAATTTTTAATAAAAAAAAAGTAAAATACTCATCCACTCTACTGATTCAGTCTCGGATGAACCACAAAGCTCACAAACAATAAATATATATAAAGTTTATTAATTAGCAATTGTACCAGTAAAGGGTTAAAGTTATATAGTAATTTAGCATACGCATAAGTTTACGTGCTGCTATAAAGCTGACTAGAATACATCATACTAAATCCACCCACATGTACATGGACATATATGCACCTCTAGACGGTTCCCTATCACATATATGCAAATGTACACAGATGCATACGAGATGTATATGTACGAATACATATTTGTATAATTTATGGCTTGGAATATGTAAACGCAACATATTCCTATCCTGACAAAAAATAATAACATCTTACTTCTTATATTATCTTATATCATCGCACACTTATCCACACAGCGTACCACTAAGTCGACGTATGAGATGAGTATGAGTTTTGTTCTTATGGTATATGTGTTGTTTCGATTGAAGCCGACTAGGATTGATGTTCCACGTACACACCTTTATACTTAATATCAGTATCAGTATTGATATTGGTATTTCTCTTTGTATTTGGATTGGTATCATACACTTGAAGAAAAACACTTGATTCAAGAATTTTTTTTTTTTTTAATTTAATTCTTACTGATTGAAGAGAAAAAAAATCTCTTGAACCAAGAAGTCAAAATCCAAGTCTGATAAAAAAATTATCTTGAATAAAGACAAATAATATTGAACTAAGAATTTTTTTTAAAGAACTTGATTGTTTTATGTCAAGCAGAAAAATTTTTGAATAAGAAATTCTTGGCTAGAAGTAAGTTTTTCTCGATTCAAGAACTTATCATATTAAAAAGTTTGATTTTCTTGAATTAAATAGGAAAATTTTAAAAAATTTTTAAAAATTCTTAAAAATTTTTTTTCTAATCAGTGCAAAAAATTCTTGAACCAAGAAATTGTTCTGGGCTTAATTAAACTTGACTTTATTTAAGAATTTTTATTCTTAATTCAAACCAATAAAATTCTTCAAAATTATGATTCTAATTTAAGATCTTTTTCTCTTGATTCAATTTAATTTTCATATCAGTAAGTTCAAGAAATATAAGAAGGAACAAATCCAGATCTTAGAATAATTTTCTTGAACCAAGCAAATCTTTAAATCAGTGTATGCATTAGCATTAATAAATACTGATAGTATGTGTATGATGGAAAGGAGAACCTTGATAAGGATTAGTGGCTGCACCTGACAGATAACGTCTAGGATATTAGATAGACTTTGCCCAGTCAACTAGATCGTGCAGCCGGGCTGTTACCTAGGCGTTCGATTCCTTCAAATTATCAAAATATTGCATGATTTGGTTGTAGTCCATACCAAGGTTGAGGTCTTCCAGGGCCGGAGTTTCCAAGGCGGCCATTGTCTCGGTGAGCTCGTGGTTGGACACCGTGGAAGACGAGCTCGATGATGAAGAACTGGAGAGGTTAGAGGAGAACATCGGGTTTCCGACGATTGTCGCGCGCTTTATCTCGCGGGGAACAATCTCCCTGGGCTTGGAGTCTCCGGAGACACCCGAGCCGGGTTTCCTGAGTTCAACGAACTCCTCGTCGTCGACAGTCTGCGCCTCCTCGTTCTTCGAGCTCGGCTTGACGTTGTTCGAATGGTTCTTGTGATGGTGGTGGTGGTGATGCTTGACGTGTCGGTGGTTCCCGTGGTGACTGCGGTGCTGGTGTTTCTTTGGTGTTTCGGGAAGACGAGCTGTCACTCCGGTGTTCCTGTGAGGAGGAACGGGCGGCTTGTAGTCTTCATTGTTGTTCGCCTGGTCTGCTGTTCCGACTGTTCCGGCAGATGGCGATGTCACTCCGTGGGGAGGTAGAGGGGGTGGAACGTCTTTCGCGTCGTTTCTGTAACGGGAACGTCTATAATATTACTTGAGTATTCTGTTTTATTTTTTATTTTCAGGTATGTTCTTAATAATTTACACGAAAAGAAATTTGGTTTTAAATTTACTGTTAAATTCATGAGAAAAATTATCGGGCTAAATTATAATCTAAAACGCTGCTTTAAATGATAATTGTCATTTGTTAGTAACAGCAATACTTTTTAAAGTTTATACACTGGAAAAAAAATTTTTTTCCACCTAGAATACTAAATTTTTTACTCGAGTTTTCTTGATTTAAAAAAACTGGTATTCTTAACCATAAAATACCACGTTTTATTATAAGGCTAGTTTTTTGACAGTGAGAAAACTGTATTCTCATTGTTAAAAAACTTTCGTATTTTAATCATAAGAATTCTAATTTTATATCCATAAGAAAACATTTCCTTGGTAGAAAAAAACTTTTTTTTCATTGTACACTGGAAAAAAAAAAATTAACTTGAATTAAGAGAAAAATTCTTGAACCAAGAAAATAATTTTGAAAAGTTTCATTGTCTTGAATCAAGACGAAAAATTCTTTAAGAATTTTTCTACTCAAATTAAGAAGATGAAATTCAAGTAAATTTCTTTTTTTTTTTTGTGTAAAAGTAAAATTTACCAGAGTCTCCAGTAGAATAAAAAAAAAAGTTCGATGTAGCTAATCGCACACATATTACATATTATTATTATTATTATTATAGATTTTATATTTTTGAAAAACTAGATTTTAACTCAATAAGATTGAATTTTTAATTGATTGTTTTCATTTAATTTATTTTCTAAGATTATTTTACTTGTAAATATAAATAGAATAATAGCTAATAGTAAATAAAAATTACGATTATCTAAAAAGTACATTTTTACAAATAACATTTTACTAATTGCATAATATTTAATTACAATGATAATTGTATAAGAATGTTGATAGAATCAACTGTAATTGAGCAACAACTCTGATCACGAAAATGTGTAATTTTTTATACATCTGAGACTTCTCTTTAGTATAGAGCGATTGCAGCGCCGCCTCAAAATCGTTGAATAATACCATTACTTAGATTCATTTTTACTGAAGACTCCAGTTAATTTTTTAGCACTTTCAATAAAATGATTTAATTTTACTGTAATTTTTAATCCTAAATTAGTAAAAAATAATTATTCATACTATAAATTGTTCACAGTTATTATTTTTTTCCTTTTATATGACAGTAAAAATGATTGGTAATTTTTCTATATTTTTTTATATTGCATTTGTGAATAATTACTAAACAAAATTATAATTATACTGGAAATTACCAAATATCTCACGATTACTGTTATTTTCTCAATAATTTTTAAATAAAATTTATTTCCGTGTATCAACCAATAAAAGTTTTGGTTAATGAAGAAATAAAAACTTACCCGTTGCGCGTGGAAGAAGTGATAGCACCCGCTAAAACTTGGGTCTTGGTGGTATCATTTTTCTGCATGTAATTGCGAATTCTGTCACGCTTGCAATAAGTTGTAGAATCAATCGGTGTGACAGTTACGCGATTCCCTGTCGCTGGCAGTTCTATGTGATTTGGATTATCAAAACTCGTTCCTAAGTCACCCGCTTCTTCGTCAACTTCACCTGCCAGAGGGTTATTTGTCACCCTTACCTATAAAATACATATAATGTCTATATTTGAATTTATAAAATTAACAATAGTTGATACAAGAAGCTAACAATCAAATTGTAATTTGTCAGATATCAATATTAGTAAATAATAAGAAAAAAAATTTTTTTGATAAGTCACGATATTTACAAGGTATATGGAAGAGTTAAGAAACAGTGTTCTTTTTTTTATTTGTATTATTGATTAATAAATATTTAATAAAAAAATATGAAGTTGTTAACTATTTATAAAAATATTTGTACGAAAATTTATGTTTTTTTTTTAATGAAAATTTAAATAATTACACCAACTGTTAAATAATAAAATTATAATTATAAATGAAAAGATTTTTAGCAATCGAGTTAAGGTAGTTGTCGTGGTTAAGGCGTACCGTCAGAAAATTCTAAAATTTTGTATACTTATTCAATTACCGTAAAAATTTGAAGTCGATTGACCACCTATAACCCGAGATGAATTCAATTAAAAATTGGATATTTAACATTGATTGCATACGCTCTTTGCAGTTCTGCACCAGTTTCTTAGTTATAAAAAAAAAACTAACTGTCAGAAACTTTAAAAAAACTGACAGTCTTTTAATGTATTTGTTGTGAATTGAAAAAAATAAAAAAAAATTTTTGACCGTCTAATTATTTATAAATAACGGATTAAAGTTCAACAATTTATGAAAAAGTATATATCTACAGAGTCGAACAGAAACAATTGTATAGGTTGCGTCTCCACGGGTACAGTCTTATTGCGTAAAAATTATGGATTACTTAGCTACAAGTTCATATACTTTTGCGGCGCGTATAATCTCTAATTTTTTGACAATATTGTACCACGATAACTATCTTAAGAAGACAATTATATCTGCTATGAATATTTTTATAATTTCTGCTAATAAGTTTGAAAATATCACGAGAAAATTAGCAACGTAATCAACTTTTAATCAATTTTATTAGACGCATAGAGACGGAATAGATTGTTATATGTGATTTTATATTCCTATTTAGTTATGATTGATTTTTCTTTTGCACTATCTTCTTTGTTGTAATATTATCTTATTAACTTTTTTTGATTAGTAATTTTTGTTCATCACTCATCTTTGCATATATTATCAAACAATGAATTTATAATTGTATAATTGCGTTAATAAATAACAAATAAATAAAAATTTTTATTCATGTTTTTTTTTCTAATTTAAATATTTATTTGATAAATCGAGTTTAGACTGTTAGCTTCTCAGATATAAAACTAATCGAAATAAATTAATAAAATTATTAAATTTAACGTAAATACCACAAACAATTTTTTTCAATAAAGTTTCAATTATTTAAATTTCAATTAATATCATAAATTATAAAAATCAATAAAAATGTCTACTATACATAAAAATATAAAATAAAAGCAAACATCTTTAAACTCGTATAAAATATCATGAAATTTCAGTTAAAAAAAAAAGTAATAATGACAATAATAATATCCATCCAGTCGTTGTAGAAAAAACAATAATAACAACAATAATAATAATTATTCAGTGGTCGATAAAGGAAATATATAGCTCAGTACATCAGTTAAAGTCACCACTAATGACTCGTGAAGATGGGCAATCCGCCAAAAATTCACCAGTCACGACATCCAATTGCTTTACCCTCTCTATCTTTAACTTCCAACTCAACAGCACCTACCATACTAGTACCCAGTAGTAAGTGTAAGTGAGTGTAACTAAGAGTATATATATATATATATATATATATATATATGTATAGCCATGCATTCTCGTCTAATAGTCGATCGACAAGAACAAGAACGAACGCCTGAGTTAAAAGTTTAAATACCTGTTGAGGAGCACAAGCAGCTCGTTCAAGAGTTGCCCTACCAAGCCAGACCCAGTCGTGGGCATTGGTGGTGGACTCACGGGGCCGACGAGCAGATGCCAATTGTTGGCTAGCAGCGGCGGCTCGTGCCCTGACAGCCCCTAACATCGGGATGCTTGGCAATGGTGAGTCTGATTGATGGGGTTTGAATTTGCTGGCATATACCACGCATGATATCACGAACACCAAAATAGCGAACCCGAATGCTGCTAGTAGGACGTACATTCCGATTTCTAAGGGTGTCATGTGGCTGGCATTGTGATGACGCACTCCTACTCCGCCTATGCCGCCTAAAAGACGTCAATCAATTGTCGGTTAAGGATTCATTCATTATGATTATCATCATTGATTTAATAATTAATTCATTTATTTATTGAGGTAGTTTAGATTCTGGGTCAGAGATAGAGAAAGTTTAGATTGTTTTTGCAATTAATTAATTAGATTATGTAACATGTCATTGTTTTTTAACAATAAGAATAGAAATTAAGCATATTAAGGGATAATTGTTAATATGTTTTAATATCACTCATCAAGATATTAAAAAAACTTTTATGTTATTTGAAGAAAAATTTATTTATTTGATTTTGAGAATATTAAGGAAAAATCGATGGAATTATGTTAAAACTTCCTTAATATGTTGTGTACATATAGAAAAAAAATTTATGAAATTTGATCAAAATTATTTTAATAAGTTTCATGAAAAATTTTTTTAATGTACTCGTGAGCATGTTGAGAGAAAATTTAAGAATTTTCGTGAAAAATTTTTTAATATTTTCGTGAGCATTTTGAGAAAAAATTCGAAAATTTATGGAAAATTTTTTAATATCCCCGTGAGCATATTTAGTAAAAATCTACGAAATTTCGTAAAAAATTCATCTTTATACCCATAAGTATATTAAGAGAAGATTTATAAAATTTTTTAATGTCTTGAAAAATTTCTCAATATGCTCGTGAAAGTATTGGGGAAAAATTCATGAAAATTATAATTATATTTTTATGTAATTATAAGACTTTTATATAATTGTATAAGAATTTTAACCAAATATGCTCCATAATTAGTTATAAGATAAATTTTTCCGAGTAAATTTAACATTTTTTCCTAGTATAAAATTGATATTATCAGATAGGCAAATTTTTAAATTGTAAAAATTACATTTCTAAAAATGTAAAATTGCCAATGTTAAAAATGCCCTGTCAGGAATAAATCTGTAAATTTAACCGATTTGACAGAACTTTTTTTTCGTGTAAGAAAATAAAATCTATAAAACTTGATCAAAATTTTCTTTTCGTTAAGTTCTATCAAAAATTCCTTAAAATTCCTAGACTAAAAAAAATATAAATTGATTTAAGAAAAAAAATCTTGAGCCAAGAAAATTATTTTGAAGAATTTTATTTTCTTGAATCAAGTTAAATTTACTTCAATTAACAATTATTTCTCAGTTCACGAATTTTTTCTACTTAAATTAAGACCATGCAGTTCTTTAAAATTATTTACTTAATTCAAATAAATTTTTTTTCTGTGTATGAATAAGGATATTAAAGAAAATTTTTTAATTATAATAAAAAATGTTTGTGTAATATCTCAAGAAAAAAGCCATAAATTTTCATTAAAATTTTCTCAATATGCCCATGATCACATGAAGAAAAAAATCTATAAATTTTCCTTCCAAAAAAAGTTTAAATATTATTATTGCATAAAACAATTCATGATTATAAGAAATAACATCTCATGACGTAAAATTTATTAATTTTTTATCGGTACTTTTTTAACCTAAACTACCTCAATCCTTAATTGATAAATTTACAATCAAGGATAATTAATTCAGACGTCTATTGATAAGAGATGGAATCTGTAATTGAGAATAAACAATTAAAATAGAATAAAAAACGATAGATATAAAAAGAGGGAATAAATAAAGTATTTACCAATGAGTATATCATGTAAATCAGGAGCAACCTCACGTCCTGTTTTTCGCTCGCGGTGGTGGTGAGAGGAGCCACCTTGAACGGTTCCCCCACCGTCGTTCTGGACGAATTCCGGTCGATGGGGAAGGTCGCTAGACGCAAAATCAACCTCGACGTTCGCCGTCGCAGTAGCCAGCGCTTGGGTAGCACCCTGTCCACTAGTGTTTGTCCTTGATCCTTTTGCTCTTCTGCCAGCATTCGTCCCCGACATCCTGCATGCCTCAGCGAGAGAAAGAGTCACTCTCAAGAGATCCCCGTGACCTTCTCCAACTGCTATTACTCTTGGATGGTGCGAGGCCACCATTGGCGCGAAAGCCACCACCTCCGGGTCCAAACTCTCTACCGTCAGATGATAATCGCTCACCGCAATCTCTCTAAGGGGCGTCTTTGTCGAGTCTGTGAACTCTATGTCGATATCCAGAAGTCCTTCCTGAAATTAAATATAACGAATCGATAACTTGGGAAATTTTATTTTATGTCTCCGGTCTCGGGTTCGAATTATCGGAATTTAATTATTGAACGATGGAATAAATGTATTTTAAAAGTTGAAACTTTACAACCTTTTAAGGATAAAATGGCAAATAAATCGAGCTGAAATTTTATTTTTTATTCAATTCTGATTTTATATTCTTTTTTATCATTTAAATTCTTTGGATTTAATTTATGGTGAAATGTTTTTATGTTAATGCAAAAAAACTGTACACTGATAAACAAAATACTTAATTAAGAGAAATACTCTTCTTAAAAAAATTAAATTATTTTGAAGAATTAATTGTTTTGCTTTAAGAATTTTTTGTCTTGAATTGTGATTCTTGGCTTAAGAAATTTTAATCTTTTCTTGGTAACTATTCTTAGTTGATTCAAGAGTTCTATCTTCATTTGATATAGATAAATTCTTCACAATTTAATCTTCGTACAATGGAAAAAAAATATTTGTTTCAAGAGAGATGTTGTTGGTTCGAGAACAGAATTATTTTGAAGAATCGGTTATCTTGATACAAGAATTTCTTATCTTGAAACTTATCACGGAAAAATTATTTGTGAAGACTTATAATAGAGATTGTAAGTTAACTATCAGAGAAACAAGAAAGTTTCTAGGAACTTTTTTTGTTGACAATTAAATTTCCAACAAAAAAGGTTTTTTTATCATTTTTTTGAATCTTTTATATTTTACCCGTAATTTTGATTTCAATTCTCTTTCATGGATTCTATTGTAAATAATTCGTATGATGTAGCTTTACGAAACAATTGTTTGTGAAGAATTAAAATCAAAATTGTGAGTGAGCTATTCTGAATATGAGAAAATTGACAGTAACCTTTCATGTGAAGGATTAAATTTCCTAGAAAAAAGGTTTCATGATTTTTTTGTATTTTCAATATTTTACCGGTAATTGTGATTTCAATTCTTTTCTATGGACATCGATTTAAATTATCTGTATGAAGCAGCTTTACAGAAAAATTATATATGTGAAGAATTAAAATCAAACTTCTGAGTCAACTATTAGAGATAAAAGAAAATTGACAAGATCCTTTTTTGTAGAAAATTAAATTACCTATAACAAAGTTTCAAATAAATTTCCCTTATCTACTATATATATTTGAGTCAAAATTCAAATTCCAAATTTTTACAATCAAAATTTAGCGCCCAAAAGTAAACTAAAATTCCTGACTTTAAAAATCTTCTACAGCACAAAACCAGTTTTCAAAGTCCGACCATTTTTTTTTTAAATTCATCTACACAAAATTAAAATTTTCAAAAAAAATATTTCATCACTCAACTACTTTTGCACGCCTTATAAGCGAAGCGTTGAGGTTGTGCTCTACTCTCGATATTTCGAAAAAAGCAGTTTTGTCGAAACTGAAATTGTTTTTTTGTTATATATATTGCACTTACAGGTTAAAATGAGTACACTTACGTCAAGTCAAATAATTTTTCAGGCACATAATATATATTTTAATAACAATTTTTTTGATTAACATAATAAATAATAACATTAAACATAATTTTTTTTGGACGTCCGTGTATGAATGAGTGTATGTGGCAGGGAAATTGGTCGAAAAAATGATCGTACCGGAATAATTTTTTTTTAATTATCTAAAGTAACACACGACAGAATTTCTTAGTTAATATGAGCGTTCAATTTACTGTCGTTAAATTATTATTTACAAAAAACTAATGTATATCTGTGGATTTATTTGTATTTCTATCTATACATTTTATTATAGTATTTTTTTCCTCACCTTGGAGTTATGGCGCCACTAAACCATAGCAGTGTTTTCTGTTTTTTATTATTTTGCTTTCTATATTTTATTTTAATCAATTTTATTTTAAAAAATGAGATTATGAGGCGTGCACTTTTGGATTTTCCAAACTTTTTTTTTTTCATTGTATTTAGTGTACTTCATTTTTGATACCTTCTATTTATATTTAAGACTGCTCTTACGTCCTCTTAGAACCGATTAAATTTTCAAGCGAATCGAGTCAGCCAATCCTACACAGTAAAAAATTTTGCCTTGTTGTTTACCCAAATTGCGTGTAAAAAAAGTGTGTAAAAATGATCTATCACATTTTTTTGTAGTTTTCAAATAAAAGCTTGATGTATTGTCCTAAAAAAATTTTTGACGCAATAACGGAAAATTTTTCTCTATAAGAAATAATATATCATCTATTAATAAACTATTTAATTCCAAAAAGTCTAATTTTTCTAGAATTCCAAAACAACAATTGTTAATTCAATAAAAATCGTCTGAGCTTGTTGCTTTGAATTACCGAATTTAGACATACATTGGTATTTTTTGTGTTTTTCAACCATATTTTTACTTTTATACATTCCCATGTTGATTGGAGAAAAAAAATTTTTTTCATACGCCCTTTCGGCATTAATAACGCGATTTGTTCTACACAGAAAAAAATTTCTGGGAAAATTTACGATACAACTATTGTAACATTGTAAAGCTGGACTAACTTTCATTACTATTAATTGTCAAATATTTTTGAAGAAAATTTACTATTTATTTACGAAACTTTACAACTTACTATTGTCATTTTACCAAATAATTATTATATTAAATTCGATTAGAAATAATACGATATTACTATTATAAAAAGTAAGAGATTAAAATTTCGAGTGCTGTCTCTGAATTTTTCCAATAAAAGTAACAAATTTTACAATAGTTGGATTGGAATGTTTTTCAATGAGCGTGAATGATGGTCGTGCACAGCACTAGACTCCGAGTTTATGTATAAATGCTGAAGAACATCAATAGTAGTTTACCTCAGATAGCGTAGAGGGAGGGTCCTGGGCAACTAACTAAGAGTTCTGGGTTCGATTCCCGGACGAAAATTCTGATTTGTGTGTTATTCGGTTACTGCAAAGTTATCAATGAGACCAACCTCCTACCTTCTCCCTGCCTATTTCTATTAAAAAACCGACTGTCAATTTTTACAATAGTTGAATTGTAAAGTTCACTAATACATCTTGTATAATTTGCTTTAAGTATTGGACTTTTCAAATCTCTTGCTAGTCTTGTTTGTTGAATAAAATTTACAATTGTAGATCGTAAAAATTATTAAATGAGAAATATAGTCCACCGTTACTATTTTATGTAATAAAAATTAAGATAGTAAAATAGTAGAAATGTTTTCAATTTTCTTTCCGTGTAGTCCTACCCAATTTAAGGGGTTAGGGGTAGTCAGGATTTTCAAAAAATTGATTTTTTTTGCATTTTCTTTAAGTATAATATCTTAAAAATATTCTCTGAAAGTTTAAAGTGAATCCGATAAATACTTTTCGAGTTATTCGGCAAATAACAAAGGTCGCTCGGGCACTCCAGAACAGGTAGCTCTCGATAGTGTAAAACTTTAAATGCGAAACTTATCGAGCTTTTGGAAAAGATAAAAAAACTCGTACCTGATCGAAGAATTTTTTTTTCGAATTTTTGATTTTTTATAAACAATTAACTGTTGGTATTTTCCCGAAAATCTAGAGAAAAATTTCCTGAGGCTGCCATTTTGTTAATTTTCAAAAAATAAAAAAAGCTTCGATCAGGCACTAGATTATCTATTAATAAAACTATTTTTTCTTATCCGATCGATTTTATATGAATCTCAAAGGATTTATGATGGTCACCGCAAGAGCCTTTTTCTGGAACTGGGTCAACACAAACAGCCATAACTTTTGAAATTATTAATTTCTTTTTTCAAATTTTCGTGACGTCAAGTCAAAACATTGAGTAATGATGCTATATTATTTTTTATAAAATAAAATGATTTACTGGCAGAAGAAAATTATTGAAAATTCTCATTTTTTCATGTCTCTAACTACCCCTAACCCCTTAACAAATAAATAAAAAGCAAGCCTCACCTGATACTGAGCGGTGAGCCTCCTAGTAACACTGGTTTCAGCAACATACCCATTTTCAATTGCACTATCCGGACTAATCGTCAATTGCAGCCCCGAAACAACCTTGACAGACAACCTTGCAATAGAAACCCTGTCATTTCCCACCCTGATCTCTTTAGCTCCAATGACCCTTCCAGTAATCGGCGAGAGAACCTGGACCTCGGTCCTCCCAACTCCTCGTCCCTGGACGATCCTGTCCTGCAGCAGAGTCGCGATCCTGGGATCCGAAACTCTGACGAGCCCTACCACCAGGTCAGTCACTCTCAACCAGGTCCTTCTATTGACAAAATAGGACTCACGTCCGCTGTCATGTCCTGCGGCCAGGAACCTGGCGTGGACCTCCACAGGGCTTTGCTGGAACCGCAATCTGCATGCAGTCTGGAGTGACCGATCGATCGAATTAACCGCGTCCCACCTGTCATCCCGGAATCTTTCAACTTCCACGTCATCAATCTCATCGTCATCCTCCTCTTCTTCTTCTTCCTCGTCTTCGTTATCTTGATTAATCGTGTCTTCATTATTGTCTAGCGAGTCTAGTCCCGAGAGACTTGTTCTTCTCCGTCTGCGTCTCCTGCCATTATTATTATTAATATTGTTGTTATTATTATTAACGTTGGTGGTGACATCAACAGAAGATTCATCAGTCTGATTCAAACTTCTCTTATTTTTTTGGACCGGATGGCCCTCTGGGACTTTCCAGCCTTTAATTTGACTCAACCTTGCATCGGTAACAGTGACCTCTAGCGGAAACTCCGGCATCCAAACAGTAAACCTCGCTAATCCAGTGTATGTGCCGTATTTAACAAGTACTGATGCGTTGCTTGAGCCGCGGATTTCAGAACCGTCTACATAGACACTGCTGCATGATGATGAAACCTAGATACGTCAGAAACACAAAATTTAATTAATTTTCTCATGCTGAGGTAAGTCGTTAAACAAACTAAAGATTAAGTTGCGCATAACCCTTTGTATAAGTGAGTTAATCTTGAATTTGAGGTTAAGTTTTAGAGGCACGTTGGTTTTGATGAATAGAGTAAGAAATAGAATGAAATAAAATACAAGGAAGTCTTTTGGGTTCTGGGTAAAGAGATTTACTTGCCTTGAGTACACTTTCATCCTCAGAGTGGCAGGATGACTGGAGCGTTACATCGGCAACTGTTCCCGCCTGGCTGACGATGAAAACCTTCATCGCTTGGGATACTTGACGACCGGTTAGCACTGCGGTATTCATAACTTCCCAATTCTGTGGATGTGTTACACAATTTATTCATTTGAGTGCCAACTAAGGTAGATTATACATTACGGTGGGTTTTGTTTTATGTTTAAGAAGCTGGTGTAAATTATGGTTCAGGTTTTATGAGACGCACGAGGAATAAATTTACTGGATGCTTTTCGAACGGGAGGTTCTGCTTTTTTAAGCTTAAGTTTGAGTCTTTCATGAAAAATCAGGGATTTGGGGCGAGAAATTCAGATGGGTTATTATTAAGTAACTAATTTAATAATGTAATTTTTGGAGGTTATTTTCAGATAAAGGTTTTTGGGATTTTAGGAAGAAGAAATTAAAGTTTCTTCTTTTATATTAGGAATAAGAGAACAGTTTTTTGATTTTAATTTATTGATTATTTTGCGCATTGGTACTTTACTTAGATCAATAGTTAAATTTGGAAAAAATTATTTTTCTTTAATTAAGTTGGGTTCCAAATGCCAAAAAACGTATCAGAGCAGATGAATAGGATTTTGTGGCAAAAAGGGCGTATAAGGAAATTTTTGTTATAATTTATTTTAAAATTATTTAAGGTAAAAGCCCTAGTAGCTGCTCATGTACCAGTACATGCTCGCTCCATGTATTTGTATATCTATAATTTGTGAATATAGATATACAAATACATGGAGTCAGCATGTACTGGTACATGAATAGCTACTGGGGCTCTTACCTTACATAAAGAAAAAGTGTAGAAAAAAATTTTTAATTCGTGAGGCCAAAAAGTAGTATGAAAAACATTTAAGTTTCAAGATAGAGACAAAAAAATATACGTCCACTTTTTGGCTTTAGATCACAAAATTTTCCAATTCCTAAAACTAAAAAGGCGTATAATTTGAAATTTATCCTTTTTCGGCTTTACTAATTTTTCCATATACCCTTTTGGCTTTGCAAAGGTATCTAAGTAATTTTTGGTATCACCACAAGGCTACGCTTTTCATTAGCAGAACAATATTATCAAAGTATGAATAAGCATTAATTTTTCTCCAACTTCTATTATTATAGGTACAGTGTTATTTGCTTTTATTTTTCCATGAGCGAAAACACATCTGATTAAATTTGCACTGATAAAAAATTGATTTGATTGAAGAAAAAAAATCTGAAAAACGGTTGACCGGCAGGCCATTCCTAGAGTTTCCCGTTTTTTTCGAGCTTAATTGAAACGTTCGAAAATCTCCCTATTGATTAATTTTGGAGTTCTTCGAGGTATAAATTTTGATAGTTATTAACAAAACGATTATTATTTAGAAATGTTTAAATGGCTATAACTTTTGAACGCATCATTCGATTTTGACTAACTTGGCGACGGAATTTTTTAAGTTAAAAAAAAATTCTCTCACAAGGTTGAAGTTGATTAGTCGATTACTTTAAAATTTATTTAGAAAATAACTTTAAAAAAAATTTTTTTTTTTGGTTCTTATTCTTTAAATATCTTTGAAACGGATCGACCGATTGACTTCAAAATCTAATCAGCTCGGTCTCGATGATCACTTTCGAACGCCGTATCGTTCATCTCGATCGGTTGATTAATTCTAAAGACATCGTACGACAAAATTGTAATTACACACACTCACAGACGCGCGCGCGCAGGACGTCCAGCCGGAAATAGTCGGAACGGCTTCCTAGGACCTCAAAACGTGGAGATCTCATGAAAACTCGCATTCTCAAAATTGGACCGAAATCTATAACTTCCTACTTTTCAAGAAAAATTTAGTGAAACAGAGTTCAAAAATTTTTTATAGTAAAAATAACTTTATTTTTATTCGTATAAAATGTTTTATATCTGGCCGTGTATGGTCATATGGACTCTGTTATGCAATAGTGTGTTAAGTACGTAAGATTTTCATAGTACTTAACACATTAATGCATAACAGTGGCCATATCAGAAGTTTTTTTGACAAATAGCGTCCAACATAAACGGAGCAAATCAAAATTCCAAAAAATCAGAAATAAAAATTTCGTTTTTAAAAAGAAAGCAATGTACATTTGAACAAACAACATCGCACCTAAAATGTATACAATTAAAAACAAACATTCAAGTTTTGTCAGCAATAACAATAGACTATCAGTACGCGTAATTGGCCCCGAATGATAATGGTATGCACACACAAAGTTATATATATATATATACAATATACGAATGTAAGAATAAAACAGCCGTTAATTAAATCCAAACTTAATACCACCAGCCGCGTTATTCGACAACCCGAATGGGGTTAGGAGATACTAGATAGGATATAGAAGATATGAGTTGAGCCTTCCTGACTACTGAGAAGAGAATCAGAGAAAGATGAGCTGGCAACCACCGACAGCTGAGATCCTACAGAATAAGACTTGTTAATGAGTTTTCTTCACTCACACCAGCATTGTTTAGAGATCATACAACTTTATTTAATTAACGAATTATTAATTAACTATTTGTGCGGCCCTTACAGAGTGAAAAAAATTACCGGGAGCCAACAAGGTGAAAGGGTTTATTTTTATTTTCATTCTTAGTTTTATTTATCGACTCCACCGTTTTGCTTTTCACTTTTTACTTTTTCCATCGCGTTGCATCACCAGTAAATAAATAAAAGAGGAGCCCGATACGATACCAGGGCATACAAAGTCGGCGCTCTAACAACTCCATAGATAGCGTTCAGTCTGAATAAGCCTTAAGATTCACACAATTTCCTTTGCTTCCCTCTTTAAAACTTTTTAGCTTTATTTTATCTACAGTGCCGACGTTACTGCATACACTTTTAAGCCCGCCGCTATTTTATAAAATATATTGTAAAGTCATTCCTGCTCTATTCCGAAGATTCAACAGTAATAAAAGTTAAATGTTAATGATAACAAAATAAAAATGAGATAGTTAAATACTATAAGAATGTTTACGAAGAAACTGATTTTTTTCAGTTAATGTATCGTGTGAACTGAAAGATGTGAAGATCATGAATAAACGAATAACGTCATAATTTTTGCACGCTTCATAATAACGCGAGGCGATTGAGGTAGTGATCTACTCTTGCCTTACCAAAACAAGCAACTTTAAGTAAAAGTGTCTATTTTATTCATATTGCACTTATAAAATAATATGAATATACGTATGTTAAGAAAAAACAGTCATTTTAAAGCATTTAATATTTTTAAAAAACATTTATTTTATTTAGTTTAAAAAAAACTGATTGAATAATTATTTCCGAACCTATCCGGATGTCTGTATGTGTGGAGCTAGCACGATTACGCCCGTAAAACTTTACGTATCAAGACAACTTATTTTTATTAGCTTCAGAATTACAGCGCGCAGTTTCCTATTGCCAATGGCTGTGTGATTCAGTGCCGTTTAATTATAATTAATAAAAAAATAAAATCGACTCGTTTTTGTTATATCTATTTATATGTAAATAAAGACTATAGCCTTAAACCACGCATGGGCGCTCGGTCATCTGTTCAGTGGTGCGCTGGCACCCTATTTTTCTTATCAGAGATAAAAATGGTGCAAATCATTTGAATCTATAATTAAAGCACAATTTCTTGTCCATTTAATACGAATATCAATGATATGACTTATTTATTTTGACTCAAAAATTAAGTGAGCAATATGAGGCGTGCACTTTTAGATTTTCTAAAGTTTTTATAGTAACTATACTGTATTTACTATACTATAAAATGCATTAAATATTTTCACCCCTAAAATAATTCTGTAATTTATCAAAACAATTTTTTTACTATTCATTTTATTATTGATCTTTTCTTACAATAATAGAATAATTAATGATTCTGATCTAATAAAAGTACATATTGAAGTTATGGGGTCATAAAAAGTGTCAAAGTTTAATTTTTATTTAAGGATCTACACGAATGTTTATTATCAATTAATAAATATTTAATAACGCTCAACAAATATTTATTAGTAGTTAATCAATGATTGAATAACTATTTATAAATATTTATCAAATCATCTTATGTTAAAAAATCGGATATTTATAATTAATTAACCTTATTAAATATTATAAACTCCTTTTATCAGTGAATACAAAAAAATAACTTTGTCTGAGATTCGAACATTAAACTTCTGAAAATGTTTTACTAAGCTTAAATATCTAAATTTTATAATTCTAACTACGAGAAGTGTAGTCACCTAGTGAATACTTTTTGATTCAATTTATTTTACTTTTTAATTTAAATGATTAAATTTATTTCTAAACACACTGATCGAAGAATTTATTAACTGATAATGAATTTGTTAATGTGGAAACTGTTTATTCATTTATTAAATTTAATGAAAGACTTTTCAACACTCAATAAATAGTATATTACACTACAAGGGCAGAAAGTTTGAGATTTCTGCACTGTGCGCAGTTCAGGGCTCTCAAACTTTCTGCCCGTGTGGTGTATACTATTTTTCTTTATTTTCGGCCGAAAGTACGGTGACTTACAAATCAATTAACGTTACAGTTAATAAATGTTCTTAGTATGTTGTCGATGCCCGCCCGACATTTGCGGCACGAGCGAAGCGAGTGCGGCTGGTCGGGGGCGGGCATAGACTACATCTAAATAGACAAAAATAGTAATAACTTTTTAAAATTAAATTAGTTCAATTGAATAGTCTTATTTTTATTAATTTTTGATTACTCAAATACATTAAAATCATTAATTTTATCAGAATTTTAATTATTTCGAGTAATTTGTCAACTATTTTTAATTAATTATTGCATATTTTCTTTTTCATCACAACTATTACCAGTACATGAACAATAAAAATTATAAAAATTATATTTATAATGAATGAAAAAAAATGATTCAATATTATTTGATCTTCCCATTTGACATGTTCGTCAATAAAAATATTAATGAAAATTTATTATTAAGATATTTAATTTTTTGGAGCAAGAGAAAAATTTTCTCAAGACAAGAAAATTTTCTTGATTTAAATAAATTGTCTCGGATCAAGACACGTATTTCTTGAAGCAAGGGAATTAATTTTG